CATAAAAATTAAAAAATTTAATAAAATTTTAAAAATTTTTAATATGCTTGTTATTTTACAGTTACATATAAATGTTACCTTGATTCATTCTTATTGAATATTAACCGAACAGAGGGAATTCATGCTATATACACCTATGCCAAAATTCCAATTTGGTTTCAGCTTTGACCCCAGATCTGAAGTACATCTGTAACTTTAATTCCTTATTGCCCAGAATTTGTTTTATATGCTCACTTATTGATATAGTGTAAGCATTTTTGAAAGGTGTTGACATTGAGGATGTATTCATATCTTGAATCGGAATTCTATAGCATTTTACTACCTGAAGTGGGAGTTGATTTCATAATAACCTTAACCACTGAACATTTCCAATTACATATTCAGGTCTAAATTTAGGATGTTTTATGATACATGCGAGTTCCTCATATACTTTAGTTGCTGAAATTAAGTAAATAGATTATTAAAGATAATTATTCAAAAAAAAAAAATAATAATAAATAAAATAAATTAAAATTAAAATTAAAAAGAATGAACTTCCCATCAATATACTTACTTATCAAATGTTTAATAACCCAAGTAAAACACGTTATCTCCGTAAAGTTTTTAAAATAAGGACCATATTCTCCAGACAGCGGCTGAAAATTAATTTTGCCATCTACTAGGGTTTGTATATATTCTGTTCTTGCCTCTGTTTGTAATTCAATTTCTTTCATATCTGTTGATTGGTCGCTAGTACAGTCACTGGTACTCATCATATCCGAGGCGCTACTCGATGCATCCGAAGTTGTAGAAAAACTGCATTCGAAATCGGCACTAATAAGTTGGTCACTGCTATTCAATATATCTGAAACACTATTCAATGCATGTGAAGCCGTAGAGTCGAAATCATCATTAATAAGATGGTCACTTCTACTCAACATATTTGAAGCGCTATTCAACTCATATGAAGCCGTAAAGTCGAAATCGTCATTATTAAACTGACTTTCATTAGATGAACTTTCTTGTGAACTCGAAACTTGAATCTTAGAATTGATACGTTTTCATAATACAACCTTTTGGGTTGCTTTTTTAGTTTTCTTAGTTCGTATTCTTTTTATTTTAGCAAACTGACTAAATCATTAAGTGTAATAATAAGAATACTATTAAAATACTTAGTAGTAATTTTTTTTTTTTTTTAAAAAAATATATATATAGTTTTTTAAGAAAAACTTACTTACTTTACCTATTTCAAGCTATAAAGTTAATTAGAAGTAAACTGCCCAATTTATAATCTTCAAGAGATAGTTTTTAAGACAAAGGTTGAAGAAATAACAAGAAAAAATTTGTGAAATCTGCTTTTATACTTATAATCTTGGAGTAATAGTATATAGTACAAAGTTTGAAAAAGAAAGAGCGAGAAATTCAATGAGTCTGTCTTTATATTTATATTAGAGCGGGGTTTAATCATTAATTGACCTCAAGTCTAATCTTATTAACTTTGTAAATCACGATACTTAATTACATGTGATCACGATCCTTTATTTGAGTTAAATTTGAACATATATATGAATATATAGAGACAAGTTAAGATTGTTACTTTCGTAAATGCTTCTCTAATATATAGATATAAAGAACACATTTAAACCCTATTATTAGCCAGATAAGGTTCGATTATTCTGCAATTAGTAGATCATTTAACATATTATATTCTATTTTAATTATACAATTGCCACTTTTGCTTTATATCTACATAATGCACGAAACTTATAAAATAGTCAACATATGAATTTTAAGGCAAATGATAAATTTTAATTGCAATTCTGTGTTTTCTCAATAAAATATTTAAGCAATAACAATAATTATAATATAATAATTAGCATGTTAGTCTATCTTAAGAAGAGACCTAATATCTAATTGTTGCATGGAACCTTTTTCATTAGCAGAAAATATTTCCATATCAACGACAATATAATTCAAATTTTTGACAGCATCAATTACGTCTTTATCTAAAAGTTTTTCTTGAACGAAAAATTTAAATGCCATTCGTATAAAATCGGTAAAAATGAAAACATTGTGGGGCTGTTCTCTGAATGTTTTTTGCATATCTGTCACATCCATATGACGTTTTAAAAAGGTTGTCCAGTTGTCTTCAGTGATGTATTCAGCAATTTGTGGTTTGGTTAGTTGGTTAGTCTTGATCAGTCTAAATTAATATTTTAATTAATTAATTAATTTCATTTCGAACAACTAACTATTATTTGCAGCTTATCTATATTTCTTAACAAATTCGGGAACAAGCTTTCGAAGTTCACGCCTCAATACTGCATTA